GATGTAACTTCATCCCTGAAAAAACATGTGCCTTGCCTCCTCAGTCTGACCTCGAGGTTACCCCTCCTCACTGGGACAGGGGGAGCTAGAGGTCAGACCTTCAGGTCACAATTGTGTACATCACAGTTTGGATGTTACAGAAGCTTAGCTAGCAGTATTATTAATAAGCTAGCCAGCCACCTTGTGCAAATAAGTTTTCACTCTTCACATACATGTATTTTTGTTTTGTTCAGTTCCAGTATTCAATGTTATGAACAGGATCAGAGGAAGGTGTGATACTAGTACTGGCAGAACTAATCGTTTTCCTCAGTTGGACGGTCCAAGAGATGACCTACATTTGTATACATGAGGGCCTGCATGCCCTTTATTGAAAGGCGTAATCTGGCCTTTTTAGTCTCCCTAATCCGTAGGCACTGCCTCCCCAAAAGAGGAATCCCAGCGTCCATGTTGAGCAAAGCATAAAGTCATAATCAGCTCTGAAATTTTGACGTAATTTGTAGTCTGGTGGCGAAAATTTGCGTAATTCGTAATCACTACACCCCCATGCAGGCCCTCCTGGCCTCTCTTGCCCCTACTGGCTTTGGCACGATCTCCTGTGAAAATGTGTCTTTTCCTTTGGAGTATACATGTAACTGATGTCAGAGAAATTTGCACAATTTGAGGGTAGGGGACTTGTGGGTGTGCATGTCATGGTCATGGGCACAACATACAGTGAACATGTCTGACCATGGAGACTACATGTTCATTTAATTGGCATGCCAGTCTGATCATCTCTCCACTTCAAAAAAAGTTTGTATGAACTTGTCAGGGTCCACAAATTTTGCCTCCTAAAATTTTTACTGACTTGCAAGCAAAATAGCACATTTAGAAGAATTGCACAGTTGTTACAGAATATGTAACTATCTAGAAATGAGGTAGATTAACATGTCAGTAATTGAAAGCAAGATTGCTTTTTCTACAATTTAATGTAAAGACACAAACATTCAACATCTGTCTACGTGTGAGTAGTTAGGATTCTGGCTGTCTGAGGCTGAAACTTCAGACTAGCTAGTAGTCCAAAGTGTGAGTTATTTAAACCCAAGAGGAATGATGGAAAATTGCAGTTTACACGCTATCCCCTAGAATCAGCCTGGTAATTGTCTGTGTTGTTTTAGTCCAGCATGGCTGTCTGCTAATGAGGTCAGACTAGCTGTCCAGGGATTCAGCCTGGCCTACTCTGGGTACTCAACATGTGGTCTGTCTGCCTGGTTGACACTTTTTGCCAAATCCAAAATCATAGGACAGGGGTGGGTGTATCAAGTTCCTGTTAAACTGACCATAGATATGTAAATCAGAAGTATACTAAAAGGCCAACAATTGCAAGCAAAAGTAGTATTTCCCAAGCTTCATCAGTCCATGTATTCCCAGGCCAAACAATTCATAGAGGCACAATATTTAGATTTTTGGCTATTTGTAGCAAAAACAAGCAAAATGATAGCCTTTGAGAACCTGCACCTGAGGGGAAAAATTGCAAATGAACAAGCACATTGGTACCAACTTGAAAGTACATTGAATCTCCAATTTGCAGGTCATTGGGCCATAATATTGTGGCACATAGGTCTCTGAGTTACATACATTTTTGGCTATTTTTACCCCAAATAACCTAAATAAGGCTGGCATCTAAAAACCCAACCCTGCACATCTGAAAACCCAATTCTTCGACCTTTCACCAAGGTCACTATCCTCTTTCCAAATTTCAGGTCATTCGACTGTACATTGTAATATAGAGGCACAGAAGCCAATAATATAGATTTTTTACTATTTTAACCCAAAATAAGCTTTATTTTGCAAGACTTGGAAGCAAAATATTAGCATAATATTTATGCAAAGCTACATGTATATGTATCCCCATGCTAAGTTGCAGGGTATTGGGCTGTCATAAAGTGGAACAAAAGCAAAAATATATGCATTTCCGACATTTTTACCCAAAATAAGCTGATAGTAGCATTTAGGGGAGTGAATCTACCACTTATCACCATAATGATACATTTTGTGGGACAATTTCGAGTTATTGTTGAAATCTTTTTAAAGATTTAGATTTCTGCGCAGAAATCTGTTCTGCAGAATTCTGCAGATTTCTGCAGAAATCTTCACCCTGTGTGTCAATGGAATTTCCCTTATGGTTCATTCAACTGATACTGCTGGTTACTAGCCAGAGTGTCAGCCTTTGTAGCTTTCATCCGCTCCCCACACTCTCTATACGGGTAGCATAGTGGGAAGTAGATGAAAGATAAAAAGGCTAACACTCAGGCTACCTGGTTACAGGATCTGGTCTTATGCTTGCCTGTATAGCTCAAACGAAACGTCTGTTACGTTGTATGTCCTCGTCTGTAATGTGTATAGCTCATCATCACTTTGTGGAGAATTGTTTTACTTCATAAATTACTTTAAAGATCACAATTTTTGTCAAGAAACGAAAAGAACAGCATACAGTGCAAAGCTATCCCCATGCCAAATAGCAGCACACTAGGCAAAAGCCAAATTGAATGCATTTCCGACAAGTTATGCCCAAAATACATGTAACCTGATAGTAGCATTTGTAGGACAGTAAATCTACAGCTTATCACCATAATGATACATTTTGTAGGACAGTACGGTACGAAATCTTTTAAAAAGCAGATTTCTGCGCAGAAATCTGCGCAGATTTCTGCACCCAGCGCAGATTTCTGTGCAGAAATCTGCGCGGGGTGCAGAATTCTGCGGCGAATTCTGCAGATTTCTGCAGAAATCTGCAGAAATAACTGGATCCCTAGGGAACTATCACTGTTATCTACATAGTTGTTGTCATCTTCTACATCACCATGTGGAATGTCAATTGTCCAGGACAAACTATACTTGAAAAGTGAGAGGTAGTCCGGAATTAGAGTGTCTGTCCGGAATTAAAGTGTCGCCTGTTATTAGTAAAAAGTACAAAATAGTACAAAAATATTTCGGTGCACCAGTGCACCCAGGGAAAAAGAAATAGGTGCACAGCTCCAATTTGGGTGCACTAAGGTGCACATTAGCCCTGTGCTTACCCTCCCAGTTCTCTTCCATGTTTCCTGCTGAGGTTACAAACCCTTCTGTTGGAATATTTGGAGTAGACTCTAGTATTTGCACTGTCATAGTTGTTACGTTTAAATTGATACATTGTGCAATCGAGTCAATCAATCCAGTTGTATACTATACTAGATCCTTTTTGATTAACTATTGTATGCGTCACAAGCACAGTGATGTTGAAATTTGATGAAATTATTATATTAAATAATTACTTACCCATGTATCTAATCACTATTCCTGTATTATGTCACTTTATTGTGTTAACCTACTAGTAGGCTAACATCATGATTTTGTTTTCTTATTTTGCCATGGGCAAACAAACTGTACCAATCACCTGACAATCATACTGATGGACCAATTTTTGTTCAGTTAGAATTCTTAGTCTACATGTACTTAGGCCTAGGAAAAAAAATGTTGTGTTTCCTGTTTCCCGACCATCCCTAGAAAAACCTGCCGACCCTAAACTTTTTTGGGGGGTGGGCCCCTGCATTCTTTTCGAGCTGATCAACCTCTTCTAGCTCCATGATCTGACACCTGAGTGATAAAACATTGTACAATAATAATTATTGGTTTTCTAACATTGACATTGAAATAAAAAGTGTCTACATGCAAGTTTTACTCTGTTAAACTGTATTGTATAAGTTGGACCGATTAGATATCACTGAAGTCACTGAAGAAAAAAACAACAAGATGTGGGGTGGATCCCTGCAAGGGACATAAAAATTTAATCTATTTAATTTTTCAAGCTGAAAATAAGTGTCCTCTTGCAGGTTTTACCTTGTTAAACTGTACTGTTGGATCACTATATAGATATCACTGAAGTCTAAAAAAAAAGATAATTCCTAAGTACCGACCCTAATTTTTTCATGTCTCAAACAGGAAACACAACATTTTTTTTCTAGGCCTTATATTAGCATGTTGGCAGAACATACTACACCTGTGCGAAATCACAGTTTCTGGTGCATGTTTGGTCGACGTTGCATCAGAATTTTGTCTGTTGCAAAGGAATGATATCTTTTCCATGACAACATCAAAACTACAGGACGGAATGTTATCCTAAATATACATGATTGTATGACCTTAACAATACGTTCTGTAGAAGCTAAATAAAAAAATGTGCTATGCACATTACATGTACCTTCGGGATTTCGTGCAGACGCAGTTCGTTCTGCCTACATGCACATGTACATGAAGTTAAGGCCACACCAATTTAATTTCTTGGTTAACAGATACGGCTGCTTCATTTTTTCTGATTGCCAAAAAAAATTCAGAATCAACTGCAAAATGCTCATACATGTATTTTGCCCTGAACCGTTGAAAACAGTCGTTTTCTTCCTGACCAGTTATTAATCATCATCTTTCAATGCAGTGGTATCATTAAAAGTTCAAAATTCATTGACAGTTAGTAGAAATTCTTCAATCAGTGACTGTATTTAAAGGTAAAAACATGTACCTCCAAATTTTCGGTGTCGACTGTACACCTTTCTCAAGGAGTGACCTAGTCTCATGAGAACACGAGACTAGGTGGAGACTTGTGTGGATCTTCTGACCTCCCCCGCCTCCTTGCAGAGTAGGGGTACATTTGTAGGTAGGACTTGGGCAGCTCCCACCCTTCATTACGGTTCATCCCGGCACGTTCCAACTGGATATGGACCGCTTCCTTTAATAATCTTTCTATGTGACTTCCGGGATTCATTGTTTAAATTTTGAACCAGCCTGGTGTGTTGACTTCATATCTCCTATTGTACCATTTTGGGCCATAATAGGATGCCTAAGCCTGTTTTTATTTTTTTTTTTCGCTAGCCCGGCCCATTTTCTTTCTAGAAAAATCCATTAACCAAGAAATTTGTGTGGCTTAAATTGTAAAAATTAACTTGTAAAATGTACAGTACTTGAAGTGTCATTTCTGTCCTGTTCCTCAGGATTTCTTCAAGAGATTGAGAGTCTGAAGCAGGAGAAACAGCAGTTGGAGGAACAGCTCCACACAGAGCGTCAGCGATGGGAACTTCAGCTGCACAGCCTGGAGACAGCGCTGGAGGACCAGAGCAGGACAGCGCGGGAACAGCAGGACAGCTCGGCTGGACAGGTGGACGAGCTCAGGAAACAAGTCGCTGCACTCGACAAACAGATCAAGTCCAACAAACAGTTCATGGAGGTGTGTTTTAGTATGAAACTTCTTCAGTACATGTCTTGATAATAATATAATAATTCTAGCCTTAGATTAACTTCAGATTTTGAACATTGTTTTAGATGGACTAAAATATAAAGGAAATTAAAGGAGATGTGCAGGTGATGTTAAATGTTGCCATCATGATGTTACAAGTATCTATATGTACAATTATAGAATACAACACGGGATATTCCGTATCACCCGAGGTACCAGCCCGACCGCGCAATGCAAAATGACCAAAAACTTTGTGTCCCTAAACCCAAGAATGAAACAACATCAATTCCAACGTCTGAATTTTGTATTATAATATTCAAAAGCGGTGCACGCGGTTAGGGCAAAACGCGTTTGAATCGTTCTATGGAACATTTGGAAGCCTGGGCCGTACACGTTAAGAACCCCCGGGCCGTACCGCTAGTTATCACACTGGCCAGAACACCCATATCGAACGTAATCGCGGCCCAGGTATGACATAGAAATATATATATTGACAAAATGTTATCTACATGTATAATACAAAATATCAAAACTGACTGTATTCTGGCATCAGGTTGACAACCACACAATTTATGCAGATCTGGATTTATGATATCAAATTTTCTGAGATTTAGTGTTGAGTGCTCATGGTATTGCAGCTACATCTTTCATTATAATATTATAAGTTGATAAGCTTAATTGTGCTTAATACAGAATATGATTATAGGAATGCGAAATATTAAAAATGAACCTGCTAAGCCATGGTGTTATACATGTACCCAATTGAAATGTCTTGTTGATAGGTACAAGCCCATGAGCGTGAACAGGAGAGGGAAGATTTTCAGAAGGAGATAGCAGAGTTACAGGCAGAGCTGCACAGTAAAGGTGTGGTGAGGAGTGTCGAGGAGCGCCTGACTACAGAGATGCAGCAGCTGGAGGAACAGCTGCAGGAGAAAACAGATGCACAGAGCCAGAGTCTGCTGAAAGTAGAACAGGTAAGCTGGAGAACAGTGTTCTGTTTCATAGTGCAATATTTAAGGCAGGATTAGGCCACAGCAAGTAAATTTTATGGATGACTTCCTCCGTAGACTTCAAATCTAATGCAAGCAGGCGAAAAAAAACTAGGCGGGCCGAAAAAAACAAGGTTCCTAGTAGACGTTTCCAAATTTTGACTCAATCATAATGATTGTAGAAGTGGTTTTGATTCAGTGGAAGCATCACCTATATACAGCAAGCATCACATATCACTACATCAATTAAAGTAAAAAACAAATTAAATATTAAAATCTTAAATGTCTTGTCTCCTGTCTTCATATTAATCCGCCATCCATGTTCCGGCATGGCAACAGACATGTTCGCCATTTTTGACATGTTGACCACTCTCATAGTGTCAGAGGGTAACAAATTTTTTTTTCCTAAAATCAGGCAAAAATTAATGCACGTGCTGATGTCATCCATAAAGATTACTTGCTGTGGCCTTAAACTGATACACACGACTTACAAATGTCAAAGCGTAGAAGCTGTCATCCGATTGAATGTCATGTGAAATCCATTTGAAGTGCAGTAAAAACTTGTGCAAAAGCCGTGTAAGCCATGTGCACTGAATAGCTGCAATTGCATGTGAACACATTGTTATCCTTTTGTTTTGAAATTCCTCAACCTCACCGTTAAGTTAGTATTGACTGGCTGTTTCTTCTGTTTAGCTGGAGAGAGAACTCCAAGTCCAGACTGACAGGAACAGCGTCATGGAACAGCAAATGAAGGACATGGAGAAAAATTGGAGCAGCAGCAACAGGTGGAGGCACAGCTGAACAGCCGCATACAGCAGGTGAAGAAGGAGCAGGAGAGGACCAGACTGGCATCTGAAGAGATTTCACAGGTGAAGAATAGAGAACTGTTCATACTGAGTATCACAGTCCAACTTGTCTAAGATGACCCAGGAAAAAGTGGTCTTCTTACACAACTAGTCTTCATATACAAGAAGCATGATGGTAAAGCAAAACAAGACAGAGACCAAAAAAACACAGCAGAACAACCATTTTACAATTGACTGCCCCATTGACCAAAGCAACCCAGCCGGTGCCATTTTACATTGTGCAAAGACTGACATGCTGTCAATATCAATAGAAAACTGGAAAATTTCATTAAGATTTCTTGCTAGTTATATCTTAATAAGTTTAAAAAGCATGTTCTGCCACGCACTTGAAAATGATGTGGTCATCACAGGCACAGATATGGCCATGTGTGGTCCCTAATGATGCTGGAGAAATTAATGGCAAACTGGCCGATTCCAATACAGAAGAACATGTCAAAATGTTCAGGAACAGCCATTAACATCTGAACTGATATACATTTAGGTACACAGCTCTTCTATAAATAAATTATAATAATAATGGTTTATTCAATTATTAAAAGATAAACACTGACTGTCATGTATACATTATTCATACAGACAGTTCCACCTGGCAGCCAGAGGCTGAATTCCATGAGTTTCATTAAAATAAGGGCATAACCATTATCTCAACCATATTTAAGAACATTTACGAACAGGATAAAATTGACGGAGCATAAAAACATTCTTAAGCGGATTAAAATGAACAGGTCAGAATAGTTTACAGGTTTAGCAACAGTTACTGTACCATGCGTGGTATTGCACTGTCGTGATATCTTACAGTTCTACGGTAAATACTGTTCAGTTTGTGGGATGATCTAGTTTTCCTGCCACTTATTTCCTCTCGTTTAGGAGGTAGGAGATGTCTGTACTGTTTAGATTGTTCTAGAGACATGGCGAATTTAACGGTTCAGATAGTTCTCTATTGACAAATCACCCCCCTCCCCTGCTGCAGGATAAGGAGGCCCTGCAGCAGCAGCTGTATGAACACATGCTGCAGATGTCTCTTCTCTATTGACAAATCCCCCCCTGCTGCAGGATAAGGAGGCCCTGCAGCAGCAGCTGTATGAACACATGCTGCAGATGTCTGCGCTGCAGGCCAAGCTGGACGACAAGAAACACGGGCAGGAGGTGGCTGACTCCTGGGTGGCACAGCTGCAGGAACAACTCAAAGTGGAGAAGGAAGCTCTCAACAGGAAGGAGAGAGAGGTGGGCTTGTTAGAGGCTTTCACGATGTTTGTTTGTTTGAGATTAGTAAAATTCTTCACTATTCTTTGTATAGAGTTTGTAGTGAATCACCAGATAGTAGTACAAACTAGAGTTCCTCGATCTCATACCTTCGCCAAATGATGTTAATCTTTATGGCTGACAAATTATTGTGCCATTCTATTGTTTCCTCATAAATTATGCAAATAAGGTCCTGATTTGAATATATTATGTTTAATGATGTTTACCTTCACTGAACTTTCACATACCACATGTATAAAAATTCCAGGCAGTCATCATTACAGAATTATAACATTTTCTCATTAATTATGCAAATTATGTCCTCATATACATTAATCAATATCTGCCTGTGTTTCTCTCCTTCTCAATTACCAATCTCACAAG